GTGTGTCCCCATGTTCTCACGTTGTCCCCATGTCCCCACGTCACCCATGTCCCCATGTCTTTGTTCTCATGTGTGTCCCCATGTCTCTGTGTCCCCATGTCCCCACGTGTGTCCCCATGTTCTCATGTCCCCATGTCCCCACGTCTTTGTCTCCATGTGTCCCCCATGTCCCCATGTGTGTCCTTACGTCCCCATGTGTGTCCCTGTATCCTTTTGCCCTCGTGTCCCCCCACGTCCCCATGTGTGTCCCCATGTGTGTCCCCATGTCTTCGTGTGGTCCGCCGTGTCCTCACGTCACCCATGTCCCCATGTCCTTGTGTCCTCATGTTGTCCCCATGTCCCCACATGTCACCCGTCTTTGTCTCCATGTGTCCATGTCCCCATATGTCTGTCCCATGTCCCCATGTGTGTTCTTACGTCCCCATGTGTGTCCCTGTATCCTTTTGTCCTCGTGTCCTCATGTCCTTATGTCCCCATGTGAGCCCCCCGTGCCCCCATGTATGTCCCCATGTCCTCGTGTCCCCCATGTCCCCCATATATGTCCCCATGTTCTGTTGTCCTGTGTCCCCGTATGTCCCCCCACGTGCTTATAGTGTCCTTATGTCCCCACGTGTCCACATGTCCCCATGTGCATCCCCATGTCCCTGTGTTTGTCACCATGTCCTCATGTCCCCGTGTCCCCCCATCTCCCTGTGTGTCATCTTCCCGTGTCCCTGGTGTCCCTTGTCCTTCTGTGCCCCCCCATGTCCCTGTGCCCCCCCATGTCCCTGTGCATCCCCATCGTCCCATGTCACTCTATGTCCCCATGTCCCTGTGTATCCCCATCTTCTCATGTCCCCCCATGTCCCCATTGTCCCTTGTCCTTCTGTGCCCCCCATGTCCCTGTGCCCCGCCATGTCCCTGTGCATCCCCATCGTCCCATGTCACTCTTTTTTCCCATGTCCCTGTGTATCCCCATCTTCTCATGTCCCCCCCCGTCCCCATTGTCCCTTGTCCTTCTGTGCCCCCCACGTCCCTGTGTGTCCTTATCTGTGTCCCCCCATCTTCCTGTGTCCCATCACCTCACGTCCTTCTGTGTCCCCCCATATCCCAGTGTCCCTGTGCCCCCCCATCGTCCCGTGTCCCCCTGTGTCCCCGCGTGTCCCCGTGCCGCGTGATGAGCCCTTACTCAGCCGAGCGCCATCGCTGTCAGTTTTCCTGGGGACCGGACGAGCCCGTGTCCCCCTCACCCTGACACAGAGTCACCCCCGGGGTCCCCGTGTCCCCTCGGGGGGCCGGCTCTGGCCCAGGGGACGCCAGAGCGGTGGCAGGACCCGGCCGGTGCCGGTACAGCCCAGGACGGGCGCTGTGATGAGGGGACAGGCTGATGGCGCGGGGACATCAGGGACACTGGGGCCGTCGGGGATACTGGGGACACTGGGGTCACGGATGCTGGGGACCCCGGGGACAGGGATGGGAACAGGGTCCCTGGGGATGGGGACACTGGGGACCCTTAGGACAGGGTCCCTGGGGTCAGGGCCCCTGGAGATGGGGACAGCGGGGACAGGGACCCCAGAGGAGGGGGACAGAGACACAGGGATGAATGAGGACTGTGGGGACAAGGATCCTGAGCGTGGGGACAGGGGACATTGGGGACAGGAGCTATAGAGACAAGGGACACTTGGGACAGGGATAGGGGCCTTGGGGAGGGGGACTATGGGGACAAGGGACCCTGGGGACAGGGTCTATGGGGTCAAGGGACCCTGGGGACAGGGACCTTGGGGATGGTGGCAGGGACCCTGAGAATGCGGTCTGTGGGGACAAGACCTTGAGGACAGCGACAAGGGACCCTGGGGACGGGGTCTGTGGGGACAAGGAACCCTGGGGACGGGGTCTATGGGGACAAGAGACCCTGGGGACAGGGACTCTGGGGATGGGGTCTGTGGGGACAAGGGACCCTGGAGACGGGGTCTATGGGGACAAGGGACACTGGGAACAGGGACTATGGGAACAAGGGACCCTGGGGACAGGGCCACTGGGGACAGGGACTATGGGTCAGGGGACCCTGGGGATAGGGACCCTGGGGACAGGGTCTGTGGGGACAAGGGACCCTGGGGACGGACGGGGCCACGGGGGACAGGGACTATGGGTCAGGGGACCCTGGGGATAGGGACCCTGGGGACAGGGTCTGTGGGGACAAGGGACCCTGGGGACAGGGCCACTGGGGACAGGGCCTATGGGTCAGGGGACCGTGGGGATGGGGACCCTGGGGATGGGGTCTATGGGGACAAGGGACCCTGGGAACAGGGACTGTGGGGACAAGGGACCCTGGGGACAGGGCCAGTGGGGACAGGGACTATGGGTCAGGGGACCCTGGGGAGGGGGACCCTGGGGACGGGGACCGTGGGGACAGGGACCCAGGGGACAAGAGACCCTCAAGATGGGGACCCTGGGAACAGGGACTGTGGGGACAGGGGACCCCGAGGACGGGGTCTATGGGGACAAGGGCCCCTGGAGGGACCGGGGGGGAGGGGCAGCGGCAGGCGGTGGCCCTGAGCCTGTCCCCCAGGGCCTACGTGTCCCTGTTCATGCGTCACCTGTGCGAGCCGGGGGCCGACGGCTCCGAGACCTTCGCGGACGGGGTCCCCCGGGAGGGGCTCTCGCGGCAGCAGGTGCTGACCCGCATCGGCGTCATGTCCCTCGTCAAGAAGAAGGTACGACACCCCCACCCC